TGGTTGCGCATCGTTCTCACGCTATCGCCCCATGTGGGACGTCCCGTGTGGGCAGTGCCATCCCTCCTTGCGATCCGCGATTGGATGGCGTATGTGCTGCAGCCACGATGGCAACACCGCAGGGTCCAAAATGACTTCGTCTGAGGACCCTGGTCGCGCGCGTCCGCCCCGCCGCTCGACTTTCTCCCCTTCGTCGCCGCGCGCGGTGCCGGTACCGCGAAAACGAATGTGTGTGTGTGTCGTCGGTGTGTGCGTGTGTGTTTGTGTGTGTGTGTTTGCGTGAAAATGGCGGCGCTGTTTTGGCGCGGCGCATGCCCCGTCATCGCCGTGCTCAGCGAACATGTGGTCGCCAAATGGCATATTGTTCTCTCGCCACAACGCCGCGCCGGAAAACTCTGAAACTCAGGCCCCGCCCGTGCGCAACACGCTTTCTTCTTCGCCGTGTCGTCGCAAACAGGGCCGCACGTGAGCGCCTTCCGTTCGCGTGGGGGTGGGGAAGCGCTCAGTCCCGCTATCCAGTAGGGTCACGTGCTCCTCGGTCTCCGTTCCCTTTCCTTAACAACTCTTCCTTGTCGCACCCCGAGGCCGGTCGAAAGGGCGGGCCTTGCGTTTCGCACTCGGCTTCCTCACCGTTGATGACCGTGACGCGCAACAAGTGGCAGCAGTTTCACACATGGAGGGCGGAAGGTTTTCAAAATGTGTCTCTCGCCTTAGCGCCGCGCGCATTCGTTTCAACCATTTGCATTTGCAAGGGTCTCATTGATTGAGGGCGGGTCGTTTTCAAAATGTGGTTCTCGCCTCAGCGCCGCGCACATTCGTTCAAACTGCAATAATTTCACGAATTGAAAACTGGTCGTTTTTAAAATGTGGCTTTCGCCTCAACGCCGCACGCATTTCTCTACAAGCGTTGCAAGAGTTTCACGGATTGAGGGTGGCTCGTCTTGAACATGTGGCTCTCGCCTCGGCGCCGCGCGCATTCGTTTGAAACACAGTGCAACATTTTCGCGGGTTTACATGGTCAACGTACCAAAAATAATGTTTTGGAATAGTTCAGGATTGCGAGGGTGCAACAGTTGATTCGCGGTGTTGATGTCCCGGGAACGGTGTCCTGGCACGATTCAGGATCGCCAATATTCAACAGTCAAGTTGATCCGGGGCGTTGGAATCCTGACGATGGTGTTTTGGTATTCTTCAGGGTCTTGAAAGGTTGCCTCCCAATCAGGCAATTCCTTCAGTGGAAATGAACCCTTGGCAGGGGCCTATGAAGAGGGAGCTTGGAGGGAGGGCTTATTCCAACATTGTTGATGAGTCTTTGGTTTACACTGGTCCTCCTCCTCCTCCTCCTCCTTCTCCTTCCTAGTCCTCCTTCCTAGTCCTCCTCTCCCCTCTCCCATCCTCATCCCCCCATCCTCTCCTCTTTCTTCATTCCCCCTACAATCAATATCCTTTTGTTCCTCATTCACTTACCACGTAAGCGGATCGACTGGCTTGTTGTCTCCTTGTCTCCCGTCCCTCTGCCGCTTGCTCCCTCTATCGTCCGCTCTTCCGTTCCCCCGCTATGCTATCTCCTCTCGCGGTCGATTTCTTGGTCTTTTCCGTGCAATTCACCGCTCGGTTTGCTTTGCTTTCATTTTCCTTATCGTCGTCGGTCTTCTGTACCTCCCTGCTGCTTGCCTTCCTCTTCCTGCTGGAGCTGCTGACTGCCATGCGGTTCTGTGGTCGTGTGACGGTCCTCGCTATGCTTGAGCGCAGTGGCCTGTCAAGTACGTGATAGTTCATATTTTGTTCATTTTTGATTCGGTCCAGCCAGGGACGATGAATATGATGATGATGGTCTGATGGTCATGAGGACGATGCTGATGACGATGATGATGATTCTGATGATGACGATGCTGAGGATGATGATAATGATGATGACCATGATGATGATGATGATGCTGACTATGCTGCTGCTGATGATGATAGTGATGGTGGTGGTGATGATGATTATGATGATGATGGTGGTGGTGATGCTGCTGCTGCTGATGATGATGATGAGGTGGTGGTGAAGATGACGACGACCACGACGACGCTATGACGATAGGACGGTCTGACGACGATGTCGATGATGCAAATGGACATGCTGATATTGATGATGATCATGCTGCTGATGATGATACAGAACATGAAGATGAAGATGAATCTGAAGACGGCGACGATGACGACGGTGACGATGGTGCTGCTGCTGATGATGATGAGGATGAGACGGAGGATGAGGATGAGGGTGAGGATGCTGATGATGACTGATGACGATGATGCTTATGATGATGGTGGTGGTGGTGTTGATGATGATTCTGATGATGATGAGGATGCTGGTGGTGATGATGAGGAGAAGGAGGAGGGGAAGGAACATGACGAGACTTGTTTTTTTGATGATGCTGATGCTGATGATGATGATGATGATGATGATGATTATGCTGATGCTGATGCTGATGCTGATGATGATGCTGCTGATGATGATGATGCTGATGATGATGATGCTGCTGCTGATGATGATGATGATGATGATGATGATGATGATGATGATGATATCAGCCGGTGTTGACTCAATAGATTTGACGACTCAAATCAAGACATCAGAGGAACCAAGCATGCTTGGAATCCGCAACTCAGCAAACAAGCAAGCGTGCAAGCAAGGGTGCAAGCAAGCAAGCAAGCGTGCAAGCGCGCAAGCGCGCAAGCGCAAGCAAGCAAGCAAGCAGGCATAGGCACAGCCGTAGGCATAGGAGTTAGGGGGAAGGCATAGGCATAGGCATAGGCATAGGCATAGGCATAGGCATAGGCATAGGCATAGGCATAGGCATAGGCATAGGCATAGGCATAGGCATAGTCATAGGCATAGGCATAGGCATAGGCATAGGCATAGGCATAGGCATAGGCATAGGCACAGCCATGGGAATTAGGGGGGGGCATAGGAATTGGGGGGGGCAACAGACCAATTAGTATGGTTTGAGCTAGGCAAGCCTATTTGGATAATGATGACGATGATGATGATGATGATGATGATGATGATGATGATGATGATGATGATGATGATGATGATGCTGATGCTGATGCTGATGCTGATGATGATGATGATGATGATGATGATGATGATGATGATGACGATGACGATGACGATGACGATGATGATGATGATGATGATGATGATGATGATGATGATGATGATGATGATGATGATGATGATGAGGATGATGAGGATGATGATGATGATGATGATGAGGAGGAGGAGGAGGAGGAGGAGGAGGAGGAGTTCGAGGAGTAGGGAAGCCAGGGCGCCTTCGAAGACGGAAGCCTTGAAAGTTGTAAAGTTGGTTGGTTTCAGTAACGCTTATCCCATAAACAAACCCATGCGATCCGCGCACGCGTCACACTTCACCACCATGGGGCAAGTTGTGCCGTCAGACTCTTGAGAGGTTTCCAGATTTTTTTTGTTTCATTGGATTTTCTGTGCCGAGTAGACGTGCGAAACTCCGGAGTCCCGTGTCTCGAATTGGGCCGCATTTGGGCCAAACCACGTAGTAGGAGATTTTTTTTAAATAGGGTCCGGTGATAACCCGGGTTATCGGGCTCCCCCCCCCCTCGAGGATAACCTGATCTAGCCGGTTGTGCAAGTCCGGGGGGGGGGCGCAGGGAGCTCGCAGGGAACGCTGTGTTCAACGGTACGGTGGTGGTCGCTACAGCATGCTGGTGTTTGGATGCACGTTGGCGAATCGTTGGAGCTTGGAGTGGCACGGGGAGACGGCGACGGCGACGACGACGACGACGACATCGACGACGACAGACGACGACAGACGACGACAGACGACGACAGACGACGACGACGGCGTCGTCCATATGCATCTGGAGGTGCACGTGAGCAGCGCGCACACAGGCATTGCGGTGTGCACTGGCAGCGAGGCAAGTTGGTGCGCGCATGTGCTGTTGTGTACGCAGGCGTTGTGGTGCACGCAAGCATAAGTGCTCAGAGGTCGCGCGGTGCACGCGGGCATCGTGATGCGTCAGGCAATATGGTGAAGACAGGCTTCGTGGTGTGCACAGCTGTTCCTGCAAGATCAGTTATCACCCACGCAGGCATCCCAGGCATGGTGGTGTACAGAGGCACTGTGGTGCACGGTCATTGCGGTGCACCACACCTTGTTGTGTACACGGGGGTTGCAGTGTATACATCCGCTGCTGTGCACGCATTCGCTATGGTGTACACAGGCATTGTGGGCCCGAAAGACGGGACCGCTCTCTGCGGAAGAAAATCAATAATCACGAATAGCTTACACATTGGATTTGATACGTTCGGATCCACCGCGATTTTCTGGAGTTCGGTCCCGCCGGGGGCCCTGGAACTGTACGCAGTTTTGTGGTGTACACAAGCACGTTGGTGCACTGGAGCTGTGGTGCACGAGTATGGTGTTGAAACAGCAAACGTGGTGCACATAGGCGTCGACGTGTACACAGGCAGTGTGTGCGTGGTGTGTACGCAGGCGCTGCGGTGCACACTGCTGCTGTACTGTACACAGGCATGCTGGTGTACATAGACATTGTTGTGTAGACAGGCGCTGCGGTGTACACAAGCAGCTGTGGTGTGCAAAGGCGTCGTGGCGCACGCTGGACAGGCGCTGTGGTGTACACAGACATGGTCGGCCAACAACTGGGGAGGACCGTACCCCAGGCCAGAAAAATCAATATCACAAACAACTCACATATTGAATTTGATACGTTCGGGCTGGGCCCCCGTGGATTTTCCAGATTTGGGCCCCAGCGGGACCTTGGAGGTGCACGGAAGCGCTGTGGCGCAAATGTTCGCCATGCTCTGTGGTGCACGTGGCTCCTGTGGTGTGCACAGGCACAGCAATGTACACAGGCGCTGTGGTGCACACGGCTTCTGTCGTTTACACAGGCATTGCGGTGTATGCAAGCACCGTTGTTTAGACAGGCGCTGCGGTGTACACAAAGAAGCTGTGGTGTACAAAGGCGTCGTGGTGTACACTAGACAGGCACCGTGGTGTAAGCAAACATGGTCGGCCCAAAATGGAGAGGGGGGCACCGTACCCCGGACCAGAAAAATCATTAATCATAAACAACTTACATATTGAATGTGATACGTTCGGGCCCTCAGGGATTTTCCAGATTTGGGCACCGGCGGGACTTTGGAGGTGCGCGGAGCGCTGTGGCGCAAATGTTCGCCATACGCTGTGATGCTTTTTGCTGCTGTGGTGTGCACGGGCATCGGGGTGCACACAGGCGCTGTGGTGCACGCCGAAGCCTCTGCTGTAGTAGCACCTGTGAAGTGCAAGACCGTTGTGGCGCACGCGTGTTTTGTAGTGCTCACAAGCAGTGTGGTGCACGCGTGTTCTATAGATAGTGTACACGTGACTTCTCGGCTACGCGTAGCAATCACATCCTGCGTATTCCAATGCGAGCTGTCCAGACATCCTTAGGCATTCTCAGATGGCGCCCGCATCATCGCAGCACCAAGAGTAGCATCGCGGCAGCATCATTAGCAGCTGTAGGGGCCGCAGCACCTGTGCAAGCGGGCATATGCAGGGCCGCCCACAGCGCGAAGGTTAGGTTATCGGCCAGGAAGCCTCGTGCTTCTATGCGAGAGGCTGCTGCTTCGGCGGAGTGCGCGACACGCGAGACGAGTGCGAACGCGAGCGGTGCCGGCCGCCCGCGACCGGTGCGTCCGAGGCCGGGTCGAGAGAAGCTGGGCGGCCGCCCCGCGCCCGAGGAGGAGGGGGGGGGGAGGGGGAGGAGGAGGAGGAGCCCGGAGGCGCGAGGAGATGCTCGTGGGTGGCAACTGCCTCGTGGTGGAGCTGGCGCGGCCTCTGCCCGGCCCGCCGCAGCAGGCCTGCCGCGGGCGCGACACGGCACGGGAGGGCTCATTGGACTGCTCATGGGATGAAAGGAAGGCCCCTCCTCTTCCTTCTTCTCCTCCGCCTGTTTGGAGCCAGCAATTCAGGCACTGGCGGAAGGCCTTCTGCCCTCGTCTCGTCTCTTTCTTGTCCGCCTTCCCTTTTCTCGTCCCTTTCATCGGAGGCTCGTGCTCCTCCTCCCTCCTCTTTCACCATTCCTCCCTCCTCCTCCTCCTCCTCCTCCTCCTCCCTCCTCCTCCTCCTCCTCCTCCTCCTCCTCCTCCTCCTCCTCCTCGGGTGACTGCCTGGAGGAGGGAGGGTAGGCTGGAGGAGGGCGGACGGCAACGGGGGGCAGTGAACGTGGGGGGATCGAGGATTGCAGGGAGGTGGCCCTAACTCAGAGGAGAAAAAGGTGCGGATACCGCTATTCGTCCTGGAGAGTCCTCGTCACCACGGTTGGATTCTTCTCGAATTTCTGGTCAAAAAGCATCCCTGGAGAGGTCCAGGGAGTAGCGTAATCAGTACCTTTCATCACCCCCCTTTCATTGCACCCCCGTCAATTGACACCCGAGGAGGGGCCAGGGCCCTCCAGGAGCGCCAACGGGGAAGGATTGGCCCAGGGCTGTAAACATCGACCCCACACTCGTCGCCCACGCCTAGGAACGCGCGGTTTCGCTATCGAGGGCCTATCGCCGATCTATCGGCGACGAGTCGCCGTTTTCGATTCAACGCTTCCCCCCTGATCCAGTTTCTCCCTTTCGTCCCCCCTCAGCCCCCCGTAGATAAGGACTTTGCAAGCGAGGGCTGTGCCAGATCCGGCGAGAGTAGACAATGAGCAGATAATATTTTGACCCGCAGCCGTGATGTCTTGAGGTGCGCGAGGGTCCTGGTTCATTGAAGTCCTCCGTAGCCATTTTGGCTCAAGTCCGTAGCGTTTGTGCTCAGGACCTGACCTTTCTGGCAAGGGGGATTCGCGGCCCCCAACTTCGCACCTCCTCTGCCAGGTCAGACGAGGCTTTCTCTTTGTGAGCTCCTGCAGGAGCAGTTTCCAGTCCCACTAGGCTGTGCGCTGGTGGCTTCCCGCCTTCACCATTTCCGTGCCATGGCTTTCCAGTGCGGTGGGATGGCCCCAGCCTGGGGTGGAGTGGCACAGCAGTGGCCGCCCCGCCAGGCGTTCCAGCCGCCCAACGGAGGAGGTGGACTCTTCGCGTCTAACCCCTTCGCCCGCGTCCCTGTCCCACCTGGGCAACTCTTCGGAGGCTTCGGTCAAGGCGGCAATGGCGGAGGCGGCCCACAATTTTACCTTCGGCAAGGGCGGTGGAAGTGCACCCACTGTCCATGCAGGAAGAACGCATCGGTTTCAACGACGTGCCGACACTGTGGTGCCTACCGAGAGGACCCTGGTCACCCGCCCCGTCCCCCACAAGGTGTTTGGTCGCCAGGCCAAGGTCCCCAGGGTGCTGGTGGTGTTCCTCGTCCTGCTCAGCCTGGTCTTCAGCCACAGCCAGGGCAGTCGACACAGTCCGACATCAAGGGCTTGGAAGATGCCGAGGTCGAGGCCCTCATTGCGATGCTCAAGAAGACTGGCGACAACACCACGGCCTCTCACTACGCTAGGGTGCTTGACGCCAGGCGGGCCGCCAACAGGCAGCAGCCCATTCAGCAGCAGATCAACAAGGCTTTCAACGCTCTTCGTGCGCATGAGGATAGCTTGGCCAAGGCTGTCAAGCGTTATGACGAGATGCAGAGCGCCATTGATGAACAACGTGAACGTGTCGGCCGATTACAGGCTGAGTGTCAAGCTGCTGAAGATTTGCACAAACAATTGGTTGCGCAGTTACATTCCAAACTTTCTGAGCCCCTCCCTGAGGTCAAGGAGCAGGGTAGGGATTCTCCGTGGTCTGTCCGTGCCATCCTGTCGGGCAAGTTTGAGGAGATCCCCATCACCCTTGGCGACTTGGTGGATGACCATGAGGAGGGCGCCCTCGACATTTCGGAGGAGGACAAGGCGACTGCTCAGAATCTGGTCTCAGAGCTCAAGAAGAGTCTCCAGGAGGCCACCGCGTCTTTGTTCAAAGAAGCTTTGGAGAAGACGAATAAAGCCAAGGAGGGCCACAAGGCGCTGCTCGCCCGCCTCCAGGGTAAAAGGCGCAGGTCTGACGTTTCGGAAGGCGGCGCAGGAGGCAACGGAGTTTCCGCTGCTGCACCCGAGACCCCCGAGCCTGCCCAGACACCCCCTTCCAGGGCCGCGGCCTGCGCTGCTGAGGCGACCGCTGACCCAGCAGAGGCTACGTCGGTGCGGCGACGAGCAGCAGAGATCGCTGGAGGCGGCTCTGCGGCTGCGACGGCAGCTCAGACACCTAGCCTTTAGCACTCCGAAGGGCAAGGTGGGGAACGTCCTGGGTAAGGCTTCGGGTAATTTTTGGAGGGCTTTAAGTTCCGTGACTGCGCGTGCTAAAGCCATCATGACCCTTTCTGGCCTCCAGAGCTCCACTACCAGCCTCGGCGCGCCTGTTGGCACTAGTTTTGTTGAGTCTCCTCTCTTGGGGACCTCCCAGGATCCGTCTCAGATATCCCTGACCTTCACCGCGGCAAACGTCACCGGGTGGGGGTCGGGAAAGACCTTCTTGTGTAGTTGTCAGTCCCATGTTGTTCTTATGCAGGAACACCGCCAGCGAACTCGTGAGGAAGTCGACCAAGCGTCCGCCTGGGCCCTCCGCCAGGGTTGGAAGAGCCTCTGGAGCCCCGCTCTGGTTGGACCTAATGATGGCACTCGTGGTGGTGTGGCCCCTTTTGTCAAGTCCTACTTGGGTTTGCACCAGCTGGGGCCTCATGAACTTCATCGGGGCCGCAGCGTTGGAGGTGTTGTTCAAGTCCCAGGAGGTTCCGCTTTGTGTGTGTCCAGCCTCTACCTGATGCACGGCATCGGCCTCTCGGGCGTGAATTTAGAAGTGCTGAGATCTGTGGGCGAGTTCGTTTCGTCTTCAGGATTGCCATGGCTCGTGGGAGGGGGTTTCAACGTGGAGCCCCCCAGCGTCCAGGATTCCGATTTCCTCTACGTGGCACGTGGCAAGCTCCTCGCTCCTGATGTTATCGGCACGTGTTCGACTACAGGAGGCATGCGCTTAAATGATTATTTCCTGGTGAGTCGCGGCCTTAGCAAGGCCACTCAATCGGTCGCCCTCGCCGGTGACTCCGATCTCACCCCGCATTCCCCTGTTTGTCTTACCCTCTTCCCCCAGCTTGCCACTTTACGTGCCATGGCTTTCCTGAAGCCGCCGCGGATTGGCCTCGATCGCGTGATTGGCCCTGCCCAGGCTCCGTCCGCTGATTTTGGCCGACTTAGGCAAGGGCTTGAGCAAGCTGTGCGCGTTGCTCGTCAAGGGAAGGGTGCCGCCACCAGATCTCACTCGGATTTATGGGTCCTGGGCCGATCTTGCGGAAAAAGAACTGGTCGAGCTCACGGGCGCCTCTCTGCCTGTCCTGGGAACCCGCAGTCAAAACCCGCGTGTCGTGTGGAAATCCCTCGCGGAGTTGGACATGAAAGGCCCTCGCCATCCCGAGTTATACGCCATCCGTTGGCTGCATGCGAAGTTTATTGTTTTTTTGCCATCTTCTTCGGCAGGATTGTCGCGAGATCGATTTTGAGGCTGCGAAGTCTGGTGTTTTTGCTCTCCCCACTCAGGTTTTGGCCAGCACTGGCAGGCGCGCTGCGATCTTTCGACAGGTGCAAGCCTTCGCCAGCACTGCGGCTCGAGCCGCCCAGTCTCTTCAGTCTGCTAAGGACCTGCTCACTCGCATTGCGTCCGCCGTCGAGGCGGAGACTCTTGTTGCCAAGGCCAACAGTCGAACCTCCTGGAGTCAGTGGATTAAGTGTGGAGTGGAGAAGGGGGCCAGGAGGGCCCACATGGTCACTAAAGATGCCAGGGTCTGGTCTCCCACCACCGTCCTTGCTGATGATACGGTTATCGTTTCGGACCCCCTTTCGATCTTGTCTTCTGAGGCGGCCCGTTTCAAGGCGTTATGGCGAGCGGAGCTCTCGGCCCCATCTCCGCCTGGTGATTTCGAGCCTGCCCCTGAGATCGATCTGCCTGAAGTCAGCACCCTCCGCAAAATCAGCAAGGGGTATAATGAGGGCTCGGCTGTCAGCACGGACGGTTTTCACCTCCGTCATTTTAGCTATCTTTCGGACGATGCTCTGGAGTGTCTCCTGGAACTTTTCCGCATCATGGAAATCAGCTCGATCATGTCAGCTCATTTGTATATCTTGGTTTCCATGTTACTCCCGAAACCAGTGGGGGGTACCGTCCTATTGGCATTTTTACTGGGCCTTATAGGCTCTGGGGGAGGATGCGTAGGCCTCTTGCCCAGGCCTGGGAGGTTCAAAACTTTAGACCCTGGTTCGCGGCTGGGAAATGCATGGGGGCTAGTGATACCGTCTGGCGGCAAGCCCTACTGTCGGAGGGGGGCGTTGCTAGTGGACAGTATGCAGCGACCCTCCTATGGGATTTCCTAAAGTATTACGAAAGTCTCAATGTTGCGCAAGTGTTGTCTAGGTGTCACGCTCTGGGTTTTCCTCAGGCCATTTCCAGATTGGCTTGTTGTGCTTATCTTGCCCCGCGGCACCTTTCGCTCGACGGCAACGTCTCTGCGGCTCTGTATGCTATCCATGGCCTGGTGGCGGGATGTCCTTTCGCCACCACCTTCATCAGAGTGAATTCTTTGGCTGGGCTGGACAGTATAGTGTGGCCTCCGTGTATTATCTATTCTTTGTACATTGATGACAATGGGCTACACGCCGTCGGGTTGTTCAACGAAGTTGTCCACGGGATCGTCGATAGCAGTCTTCAGCTCAAGAGGGTAGTTGTTGAGGACATCGGTGCCACCTTAGCAGAGGATAAGGCATGTCTCATGACCTCCAGCAAGATTGTGGGGCAGGCCATCCAGCGGCGGCTCGGTTCCTCGTTGACTGGCCCAATCGTCTGCGCCGCACCTAACCTCGGCGCCGACGACAGCGTCGGCAAGCCCCTCAGGCACAAGGGCCTTGACTCCAAGGCAAAGCGCAGGCGGTCATGTGCTCAGGCTAGGGCTAAACGAATCCATAAGCTTCATAAGTCCTTGGGCCGTAAGTGCAGGAATTTGTGTGTCGCGGGGCCGCTTCCTGCTGCCACTTATGCCTCCGAAGTTCACGGCATCAGTGATGGAGAACTCCTTAGGCTCAGACGTAGTTTCGCTTCCGTGTTTAAACCTAGCGCGGGGGACAGGAGTCTTTCTATTTTGTTGCTTCTCGAGGAGGATCCTACGTGGCTCATTCAAGTTTCCCCCATCCTGCGTTGGGCTAAAGAAATATGGAACACTCGAATGCGTGTTCACCCCTCCACCTTAAGTTTCCAGCAGATGAGGTTCGCTTTTGATCAGGTTTTTGCTCAGCCCTGGAAAACTTGGCGATCCGTCGCTGGCCCTGTTTCGGCCCGGCGGTATTCTCTTCGTCGCCTTGGCTGGACTGCTAAGAATTTCGCTACTCTAGTGACTGACCAAGGCCACGAGTTTTCTCTTTTGTTATTGTCGCCAGACATGTTGAGGCTCCAGCTAAAGGATGCGGTGCTTCGGCAACTCGAGCGACGCATCGGAGACCGTCATGGTTTTCCTGATAGGGTTTGCTCTGATATTGTTACTCGGCACTTGCGGTCCAACAAGAACACTCCTTTGGAGAAGGGGGCTCTCAGGGCGATCGCGCCTGGAGCTCTCTGGACCCGTGTGTATGCCCGCGGGAAGGGCTATCAGCACCCCGTGGAGTGTCCTTTAGGCTGCGGGGGCCGCGACACATTGCATCACAGGATATGGAAATGTCCTGCTCTGGCCGAAGAACGTCTCGAACTAGTTGGTCGTGAAATACTCGAGAGCATCGACGGCCATGTTACGAACCGAAGCCTGTTGTTCTCGGTAACTCGTGGAGGTTTACCTCATCCTGGGGACATCCATCCTGGACCGCTGGAGGCTGGGTCCTGGGTTGCCGAGTGGTTCGTCGATCCTCCTGAAAACGAGTTTTCGCTGAAAGGTGACATTTTTGTAGACGGCTCTTGCACGCGGCATCCTATCCGCGAGCTTTGCCGCGCTGGCTGGTGTTGCAACGCTTTTAAGGACGGGGTGCGAATTTGCGAGATCCGATGCCCTGTGCACCCGCCACTTCGGCAGTCGCCCCAGGCGGCAGAATATTCTGCATTTACAGGTTCAGTGATGTGCCTCAGGGGTCCTGCCTCCATTCTTTCAGATTGCGCGAATGTGGTAAATGATTACCACGCTGCGCCAGACCTGTACGCCCATTTTCGTAAGGCTTATGCTGGACATGTCGTCCAGGCAAGGGCTGACGATGCCCACAGGTTTTTGGAAAAGGTTATCAAGATCAAGGCCCATCTCAGTCTTAGCGAGGCTGGTTTGTCGGAAGATGAACTTTATTGCAGGACGGGGAACCATCTTGCTGACTTTGGCGCAAAGAACGCGGTTTCGTTGCACCCCATGGACCGCCAGGTGTTGGAAGAAACCGATGTTCGTATCAAATACACTGATGCGTTTTGCAAGTTAGCTATGAAGCTTTTGCCCCGTTTTCCATCTCTCAAGGATTTCAGCGAAGTTGAGTATATCAAGCCCGATCGTCCCAAGGCCGCTGCTGCGGCCTCAGACGCGTGCTCTTTTGTCAGGATTGCGGGATTCTGGCGGCGCACTTACTGTTTCAAGGCATCTAGGGCCAGGTTCACGTTCAGATTCGGTGCGCGTCCTATTCCTCCTCCTAGGAAGTGCACGGGGCCTGCTACTGGACTAGATTTTGACTTGGTCCGAAATAATAACCACTTTATTGTCGGCCTAGCTTGTTCTGATCATTCCATCTTGTGTGTCTGCGTTCATTGCACGGCTCAGATTTCGACGGGCTCTCCGCTCAAATCGAACTTGTTTTTGAGACGCTGCCCTGGCTCAGGGACCATGTACCCGTGGCAAAAATCCAAGTGGAAAAGACTGCTGCAGGGATTCCACCCCCAGCGCGACAAGTCGCAGGTCCGTGTATTAGTGGATGGTTTTTTTCTAGCACCCCTCCCATTGGAGAAGCAACTCGCGGCGTTGAGGAAGTGCTCGGGTCAGTTGCTTCTCAACCGGGGGGGGGGGGGGGGGGGGGGCTCCCGACGCAGAGTGTGGCACGGTGCAGGTGGGCGTTGTCTCACACCCGCCTCCTGTGCGCGCGGAGGCCCCTACAGGTGCTGGTGATCTCCAGCAGCCACCTTCCGAGGCCGTGCCCCTCATAGACGGTTTCGATGATGAGGAGGTCACCGCCAAGTTTTCATCGGACTCACAGCCCGATAGAGTCGTGGAGTATTCGTCTTCGTCGTTTACCCTCGGTCCTAATGTGATGTCCATTGCCTTCTCACCCCCGAGCGGGGGCGATGTTCCTCGGGCAGCGCCCCGACAGGCGCGAGCTGTTTTGGCGGAAAGGGACGACCTGGAGCCGATTGCTCCCGCTCGGTCGGCCTCCGCTACTTTTCAAGCGAAAGTCAACAGACTAGTCCGAGCTGCGGGTGGGTGTCCTGTGGTTTCTTCTTCCTCGGACTCGGACTAGCTTGTTTCTGCTTTCGCATTGTACCCCTGACCCACGGGGTCGCTGGGGTCTCTTTCTGGGCTGTGCACTTGTCTGGGCCTAACTAGGGCCAGGGCGAGCCTGCTGCCCTCTCGCTACAGGCCCCCGCGTCTGTAGCCTGTGCAGGTCGCCTTGCGCGTAGGGGCCAGGTTTCGCTGTCGCCTGCCTCTGCTTTGGACGCCTGGCGTTCGCCCTCGGCAGCTGGAGCTTTGCGGGCAACAAAAAAATGGTTCATTGAAGTCCCCGTGAAAGGGTCCCTGAAAGAGGAGGACGAGGATGGAACAAAGTTATAATCGAAGATGTCTCGCGGCGTGGCCTGTTCGGCGGAGGAGGAGGAGGACCAGGTATAAACCCAGGAGTCACCAACGATGTTGGATTAAACGCTCACTCCAAGCTCCCTCTTCATAGGCCCCTACAACGGTTCATCTCCATTGATGGAACTGCTTCGTTGGAAGACAACCGTTTGAAGACCCTGAAGCATGCCAAGACATTGTTCTCGGAATTCCAACGCCACGGATCAACGTTACTGTTGTGTCTTGACGATCCGGAATCGCGCCAAACGCCATTTCCAGGATTTCAACACAGGGAATCAACGTAATTGTTGCACCCGCATAATCCTGAATCCTTTCCAAACATCATTTTTGGGAACGTGGATGATGGGAATCCGTGAAACTCTTGCAAGTTTGTGGTAAACGAGACCCACATTTTGAAAAGGAGCCGCCCTCAATCCGTGAAAACTCTTGCAAATTTCTAAAACGAATGTGCGCCGCGCTAAGGCGAGAGCCACCTTTTGAAAAGGACTCGCCCTCAATCCGTGAAGCTCTCGCACATTTTTATAACGAATGTGCGCGGCGCTTAGGCGAGAGTCACATTTTGAAAAGGACCACCCCTCAATCCGTGAAACTTTTGCAAAGTTCTAAAGCGAATGTGCGCCGCGCTAAGGAGAAAGTCACATTCTGAAAACGACCCGACTTCAATCCGTGAAACTGTTATAAAGTTTACAAAAACGAATGTGCGCCCCGCCGCGCGAAGCGAGAACGACATTTTGAAAACGACCCGCCCTCCATCTGTGAAGCTGTCGCCGACTTTGAAAATTCAGAGTCATAAGTGGTGAGGAAGTCTCAGGCGAAACGCTCGGCCCGCCCTAAACACTGGCCTCGGGGTGCGACAGGGAGAAGTTATTCTGAAGGAGAAGGAGTGGAGGAGGAAAAGGAGGAGGAGGAGGAGGCGGAGGAGGCGGAGGAGGCGGAGGAGGCGGAGGAGGCGGAGGAGGAGGGGGAGGAGGAGGAGGAGGAGGAGGAGGAGGAGGAGGAGGAGGAATGAGGAATGGCGAAAGAGGAGGGAGGAGGGACGAGGAAGCAGGCGGACAGAGAGGGAGGACACACCCGTCTCCCAGGGATGAAGCGGGCCATCATCGAACAAGATCTGAAGCCTGAAGCGCATGTCACCTCATTGTTGATCGGATGGCGGACCCGCCTGGAGGGCGCGGTGTGGAGGGGGCGGGGCCTGCCTGTTGGGACCCCCCGGCAGGAAGCCCTCACGCTGCGGGCGCGGTCCGCGCAGAGCTGCGAGGAGCCGCGGCCGCGGCCCCGCACACCGGGCAGGCAGCCCTTCCCTGCTCTCTCCCTGCCTCCCCGCCTGCACCTCTCCCTCCCTCCCGTCCTGCCTTCCTGCCTGCTCTCCTCCCTCCTCCCTCCTCCCTCCTTCCTCCCTGTCTCGTCCCTTCTGCCCCTCGGGGTGAAGCTTCGTGAAAGGCAGCAGTCCCACGGCCTGGCATCGGAAGAGGAGGAGTTCTTTTCCTCGGGGGGCCCCTGTCGCTGGCCTCTGGCAGGGAATTTCATCCCCTGTATGACGAAAAAAGGTTCCCTCGTGTGGCCCCCCCTCGTTTTTCCCGACCACCCTGTGGTGTTGGGTCCTCGTTTTGAAGAGACGGTCCCCGCGTTTCTCCCGCCTCCTTCCTCCCTCATCCTCCTCCCTCCTCCCCCTCCTCCTTCCTCCCTGCGTTTCACCCACCTACTACAGCGTTTCGCGGCCCCTTCGGGAACTCCACCGAAGGTCCCAGTGGGACCGCCCGCATGCGTCAACCACCATCTAGCACAGCCCTTCCTCCCTGCGTTTCACCCACCCACTGCAGCGTTCCGTGGGCCCATAGGGAGCTCCACCAAGCCCCAGTGGCACCGCTCGCATGCGTCAGCTAACACCCAGTACAGCGTTTCGTGGCCCCATGGGGGCCCCACGGAAGGCCCCAGTGGCACCGCCCGCATGCGTCGTCCACCACCCAGTACAGCGTTTCGCGGCCCCATAGGGGGCTCCACCGAAGGTACCAGTGGGACCGCCCGCATGCGTCAGCCACCACCCCGTGCACCGTTTCGCGGCCCCATAGGGGGCTCCACCGAAGGTACCAGTGTGACCGCCCGCATGCGTCGTCCACCACCCAGTACAGCGTTTCGTGGCCCCTGGGGAACTCCACCGATGGTCCCAGTGGGACCGCCCGTGTGCGTCAGCCACCACTCTGTACAGCGTTTCGTGGCCCCGTAGAGAGCTCCAGAGAAAGACCTCGGTGGGACCGCCCGCATGCGTCGTCCACCACCCGGTACTGCATTTCGCGGCCACATTGATTGGGAGCTCCACCGAAGGCCCCAGTGGCACCGCCCACATGCGTCCCCCCACCCGGTGCAGCGTCTCGTGGCCCCGAAGGGAGCTCCAGTGGCCCGCCCGCATGCGACCCCCCACCCAGTACAGCGTTTCGTGGGCCCCACAGGGAGCCCCACCGAAGGCCCCAGTGCCACTGCCCGCATGCGTCACCCCCTCCCGTGGCCCCATAGGGAGCTCCACCGAAGGTACCAGTGGCACCGCCCGCATGCGTCGGCCACCACCCAGTACAGTGTTTCGTGGCCCCATAGGGAGCTCCACAGAAAGACCCCCGCGGCCCCGCACGCATGCGTTTACCCCAACCAGTACAGCGTTTCGTGGCCTCATCGGGAGCTCCAGCGAGGGGCACCGCCCGCATGCGTCAGCCACACGTAATACAGCGTTTCGTGGCCCATAGGGAGCCCCACCGAAGGCCCCAGTGGCACCGTCCGCATGCGCCTCCCCCACCCATTACGGCACGTCCCTCACGCGTTTCGTTGCCCCATAGAGAGCTCCACCGAAAGCGGCACCCACAACGCTTTACTCACAACTGCATATGGTTGGGTCTTTCTTCAGGGTAATTTCACAATCATCCTGTGGTGTTGGGTCATCGTTTTGAAGAGACGGTCCCCGCGTTTCTCCCGCCTCCTTCCTCCCTCATCCTCCTCCCTCCTCCCCCTCCTCCTTCCTCCCTGCGTTTCACCCACCTACTACAGCGTTTCGCGGCCCCTTCGGGAGCTCCACCGAAGGTCCCAGTGGGACCGCCCGCATGCGTCAACCACCATCTAGCACAGCCCTTCCTCCCTGCGTTTCACCCACCCACTGCAGCGTTCCGTGGCCCCATAGGGAGCTCCACCAAGCCCCAGTGGCACCGCTCGCATGCGTCAGCTACCACCCAGTACAGCGTTTCGTGGCCCCATGGGGGCCCCACGGAAGGCCCCAGTGGCACCGCCCGCATGCGTCGTCCACCACCCAGTACAGCGTTTCGCGGCCCCATAGGGGGCTCCACCGAAGGTACCAGTGGGACCGCCCGCATGCGTCGTCCACCACCCAGTACAGCGTTTCGTGGCCCCGTAGTGAGCTCCACAGAAAGACCTTGGTGGGACCGCCCGCATGCGTCGTCCACCACCCGGTAATGCATTTCGCGGCCACATTGATTAGGAGCTCCACCAAACCCCAGTGGCACCGCCCACATGCGTCCCCCCACCCGGCGCAGCGTCTCGTGGCCCCGAAGAGACGGTCCCCGCGTTCTCCTCCTTCCTCCTCCTCCTCTTCATCCCTCCTCCTGGCGTTTCACCCATCCAGTCCAGCGTTTCGTGGCCACATAGGGAGCTCCACCGAAGGCCCCGGTACCAAC